ACTGGTGCAGTATTGTGACTAGAAGTCTGTGTTTGATAGTGCTGTATTGTGACTTCATGTCAGTGTTTACTGTTTCTGTATTGTGACTTCAAGTCAGTGTTTACTGGTGCTGTATTGTGACTACATGTCAGAGTTTAATGGTGCAGTATTGTGACTACAAGTCAGTGTTTACTGGTGCTGTATTGTGACTACAAGTCAGTATTTACTGTTGCTGTATTGTGACTACATGTCAGTGTTTACTGGTACAGTATTGTGACTACAAATCTGTGTTTACCGGTGCAGTATTGTGACTACATGTCAGTCTTTACTGCTGCAGTATTGTGACTACAAGTCAGTGTTTACTGGTGCTGTATTGTGACTACAAGTCAGTGTTTACTGGTGCTGTATTGTGAGTACAAGTCAGTATTTACTGGTGCAGTATTGTGACTACATGTCAGTGTTTACTGGTGCTGTATTGTGACTAGAAGTCTGTGTCTAATAGTGCTGTATTGTAACTTCATGTCAGTGTTTACTCTTACTGTATTGTGACTTCAAGTGAGTGTTTACTGGTGCTGTATTGTGACTACATGTCAGAGTTTACTGGTGCAGTATTGTGACTACAAGTCAGTGTTTACTGGTGCTGTATTGTGACTACAAGTCAGTGTTTACTGTTGTTGTATTGTGACTACATGTGAGTGTTTACTGGTACAGTATTGTGACTACAAATCTGTGTTTACTGGTGCAGTATTGTCACTACATGTGAGTGTTTACTGGTACAGTATTGTGACTACAAATCTGTGTTTACTGGTGCAGTATTGTGATTACATGTCAGTGTTTACTGGTGCAGTATTGTGACTACAAATCTGTGTTTAATGTTGCTGTATTATGACTACAAGTCAGTGTTTACTGGTGCAGTATTGTGACTACAAATCTGTGTTTAATGTTGCTGTATTGTGACTACATGTCAGTGTTTACTGGGTCTGTATTGTAACTACAAATCTGTGTTTAATGTTGCTGTATTATGACTACTTGTCAGTGTTTACTTGTGCAGTATTGTGACTACAAATCTGTGTTTAATGTTGCTGTATTGTGACTACATGTCAGTGTTTGCTGTTGCTGTATTGTGACTACAAGTCAGTGTTTACTAGTGCTGTATTGTGAGTACATGTGAGTGTTTACTGGTACAGTATTGTGACTACAAATCTGTGTTTACTGGTGCAGTATTGTGACTACATGTCAGTCTTTACTGGTGCAGTATTGTGTCTACAAATCTGTATTTAATGGTGCAGTATTGTGACTACATGTCAGAGTTTAATGGTGCAGTATTGTGACTAGAAGTCTGTGCTTACTGGTGCAGTATTGTGACTACAAGTCAGTGTTTACTGGTGCTGTATTGTGACTACAAGTCAGTGTTTACTGGTGCTGTATTGTGACTACAAGTCAGTATTTACTGGTGCAGTATTGTGACTACATGTCAGTGTTTACTGTTGCTGTATTGTGACTAGAAGTCTGTGTTTAATAGTGCTGCATTGTGACTTCATGTCAGTGTTTACTGTTTCTGTATTGTGACTTCAAGTCAGTGTTTACCGGTGCTGTATTGTGACTACATGTCAGAGTTTACTGGTGCAGTATTGTGACTAGAAGTCTGTGTTTAATAGTGCTGTTTTGTGACTTCATGTCAGTGTTTACTGGTGCTGTTTTGTGAGTTCAAGTCAGTGTTTACTGGTGCTGAATTGTGACTACTTGTCAGAGTTTACTGGTGCAGTATTGTGACTACAAGTCAGTGTTTACTGGTGCTGTATTGTGACTACAAGTCAGTGTTTACTGTTGCTGTATTGTGACTACATGTCAGTGTTTACTGGTACAGTATTGTGACTACAAATCTGTGTTTACTGGTGCAGTATTGTGACTACATGTCAGTCTTTACTGGTGCAGTATTGTGACTACAAGTCAGTGTTTACTGGTGCTGTATTGTAACTACAAGTCAGTGTTTACTGGTGCTGTATTGTGAGTACAAGTCAGTATTTACTGGTGCAGTATTGTGACTACATGTCAGTGTTTACTGGTGCTGTATTGTGACTACAAGTCTGTGTTTAATAGTGCTGCATTGTGACTTCATGTCAGCGTTTACTGTTGCTGTATTGTGACGTCAAGTGAGTGTTTACTGGTGCTGTATTGTGACTACATGTCAGAGTTTACTGGTGCAGTATTGTGACTACAAGTCAGTGTTTACTGGTGCTGTATTACTGTGACTTGTAAGTCAGTGTTTACTGTTGCTGTATTGTGACTACATGTCAGTGTGTTTACTGGTACAGTATTGTGACTACAAATCTGTGTTTACTGGTGCAGTATTGTGACTATATGTCAGTCTTTACTGGTGCAGTATTGTGACTACTGGTGCAATCTGTGACTTACTGGTTTAATGTTGCAGTATTGTGATTACATGTCAGTGTTTACTGGTGCTGTATTGTGACTACAAGTCAGTGTTTAATGGTGCTGTATTGTGACTACAAGTGTTTACTAGTGTCAGTGTTTACTGGTGCAGTATTGTGACTACACTGGTCAGTGACTACATGTCAGGATCTTTACTTGCTGTATTGTGCTGTATCAGTGTGACTGTTTAATGGTCAGCATTGTGACTGGAAGTCTGTGCTTTTGCAGTTTATGTGCTGTATTGTGACTTCATGTCAGTGTTTACTGGTGCTGTATTGTGACTTCAAGTCTGTGTTTACTGGTGCTGTATTGTGACTACATGTCAGAGTTTACTGGTGCTGTATTGTGACTACAAGTCGTCAGTGTTTTACTGTGACTACAAGTCAGTGTTTAGTATTGTGACTACAAGTCAGTGTTTACTGTTGCTGTATTGTGACTACATGTCAGTGTTTACTGGTACAGTATTGTGACTACAAATCTGTGTTTACTGGTGCAGTATTGTGACTACATGTCAGTCTTTACTGGTGCAGTATTGTGACTACAAGTCAGTGTTTACTGTTGCTGTATTGTGACTACAAGTCAGTGTTTACTGGTGCTGTATTGTGAGTACAAGTCAGTATTTACTGGTGCAGTATTGTGACTACATGTCAGTGTTTACTGTTGTTGTATTGTGACTAGAAGTCTGTGTTTAATAGTGCTGTATTGTGACTTCATGTCAGTGTTTACTGTTGCTGTATTGTGACTTCAAGTGAGTGTTTACTGGTGCTGTATTGTGACTACATGTCAGAGTTTACTGGTGCAGTATTGTGACTACAAGTCAGTGTTTACTGGTGCTGTATTGTGACTACAAGTCAGTGTTTACTGTTGTTGTATTGTGACTACATGTGAGTGTTTACTGGTACAGTATTGTGACTACAAATCTGTGTTTACTCGTGCAGTATTGTCACTACATGTGAGTGTTTACTGGTACAGTATTGTGACTACAAATCTGTGTTTACTGGTGCAGTATTGTGATTACATGTCAGTGTTTACTGGTGCAGTATTGTGACTACAAATCTGTGTTTAATGTTGCTGTATTATGACTACATGTCAGTGTTTGCTGTTGCTGTATTGTGACTACAAGTCAGTGTTTACTGGTGCTGTATTGTGACTACATGTCAGTGTTTACTGGTGCTGTATTGTGACTACAAATCTGTGTTTAATGTTGCTGTATTATGACTACATGTCAGTGTTTACTGGTGCAGTATTGTGACTGCAAATCTGTGTTTACTGGGTCTGTATTGTGACTACAAGTCAGTGTTTACTGTTGCTGTATTGTGAGTACATGTCAGTGTTTACTGGTGCTGTATTGTGACTGCAAGTCAGTGTTTACTGGGTCTGTATTGTGGTACTGTATTGTGAGTACATGTCAGTGTTTACTGGTGCTGTATTGTGACTACAAGTCAGTGTTTACTGGTGCTGTATTGTGAGTACAAGTCAGTGTTTACTGGTGCTGTATTGTGAGTACAGTGTCAGTTTTTACTGGTGCTGTATTGTGAGTACAAGTCAGTGTTTACTGGTGCTGTATTGTGATTACAAGTCAGTGTTTACTGGTGCAATATTGTGACTACAAGTCAGTGTTTACTGTTGCTGTATTGTGACTACAAGTCTGTGTTTATTGGTGCTGTATTGTGACTACAAATTTGTGTTTACTGGTGCTGTATTGTGAGTACAAGTCAGTGTTTACTTGTGCTGTATTGTGACTACAAGTCTGTGTTTACTGGTGCTGTATTGTGATTACAAGTCAGTGTTTACTGGTGCAATATTGTGACTACAAGTCAGTGTTTACTGGTGCAGTATTGTGAGTACAAGTCAGTGTTTACTGGTGCTGTATTGTGATTACAAGTCAGTGTTTACTGGTGCAATATTGTGACTACAAGTCAGTGTTTACTGTTGCTGTATTGTGACTACAAGTCTGTGTTTATTGGTGCTGTATTGTGACTACAAATTTGTGTTTACTGGTGCTGTATTGTGAGTACAAGTCAGTGTTTACTTGTGCTGTATTGTGACTACAAGTCTGTGTTTACTGGTGCTGTATTGTGACTACAAGTCTGTGTTTACTGTTGCTGTCTTGTGACTACATGCCTGTGTTTACTGGGTCTCTATTGTGACTACAAGTCTGTGTTTATTTGTGCTGTATTGTGACTACGTTAGTGTTTACTGGTGCTGTATTGTGACTACAAGTCTGTGTTTACTGGTGCTGTATTGTGACTACAAATCTGTGTTTACTGGTGCTGTATTGTGAGTACAAGTCTGTGTTTACTGGTGCTGTATTGTGACTACATGTCAGTGTTTACTGGTGCTGTATTGTGACTACAAATCTGTGTTTACTGGTGCTGTATTATGACTACACGTCTGTGTTTACTGTTGCTGTATTGTGACTACAAATCTGTGTTTACTGGGTCTCTATTGTGACTACAAGTCTGTGTTTATTTGTGCTGTATTTTGACTACGTCAGTGTTTACTGTTGCTGTATTGTGACTACAAGTCTGTGTTTACTGGTGCAGTATTGTGACTACAAATCTGTGTTTACTGGTGCTGTATTTCAGCAGTGAATGGACGCCGGACTGTAAAGAAGTCTGTGTACAAGGACTGGTGTGAGGATCTCGAGGACGGCATGTACATCAGTGACTGCACCACCTTCTACCGCTGCGTCAACGAGACTACCGAGTACCTGCCGTGTCCGAACAATCTTGTCGCTAACGAGAAGCAGATGTGGTGTGACTAGTAAGTCTGACTAGTTAGTGCAGAGAGTCTGATTGGCTGATGACCAGAAAGTCTTGGCGAGTGGCTTACCGTAAGATTTCTGGTAATTGTTGTAGAGAGTGTGAGTGTATGATGAATCGCGAGTGTTGGTGTGTGGTGTGTGATGACTGGTACATTCTGGAGCGCATGAGTAAGTGTGGCCGAGTGTATGGCAATAGAAATGTTAAGGTTTGGTAGATTGTATGACAATAGGAAGTGTTATGATGTGGCCGTGGGTATTACTATAGGAAGTGTTACAATGTGACCGTGTGTATTACGATAAGAAGTGTTACGATGTGGCTGTGTGTATGACGATAGGAAGTGTTACGGTGGGGCAGATTTTAGGACAATGGGAAGTGTTACGGTATGTCCGTATGCATTACGACAGGAAGTGTTACGATGCCACCGAGTGTATTACGACAGGAAGTGTTACGATGTGGCGGAGAGTATTACGACAGGAAGTGTTACGATGCCACCGAGAGTATTACGACAGGAAGTGTTACGATGCCACCGAGTGTATTACGACAGGAAGTGTTACGATGTGTTTGTGTGTATTACAATAGGAATGGTTACGGTGTGGCCGATCGTATGGACATAGGTAGTGTTCAATAGTTCACGTGTGTAGAACCAAAACCTCTACTGTGAAACAAATACATCCCCTAGAAATATCAGTACCAGATATTTGATTACACGAGGGAGACGAGTCAGTAGCATTAACGTGTCTATTTTGTCTTCACTAGCAAGGACCTAGTTAAACCTCCATGCGGCACCGCCCCTAACTGTACAGGCATGGACGGCAACTACCCCGACTACGCCAGGAAGTGCCAGTACTACTTCACGTGTCTACACGACGACTTCTACGGCTACACACGATGCGCAGCCAGTAAGTGAATGAGTGAGTGAGTGAGTTTTACGCCGCACTCAGCAATATTCCAGCTATATTGCGGTGGTCTGTAAATAATCGAGTCTGGACCAGACAGTCCAGTGATCAACAGCATGAGTATCGATCTGCGCAATTGGGAACCGATGACATGAGTCAACCAAGTCAGCGTGCCTGACCCCCCGATCCCGTTAGTCGCCTCTTACGACAAGCATGGGTTACTGAAGGCCACTATTCTAACCCGGAACTTCACGGATCGCAGCCAGTAAGTAAAGAGCGGAGAAAGGCGACGGTATAACTTGCTCTTGCTTATATCTGCTCCTAGCGGATTATTACATACTGAACGGCTAAAAAACGTCGTATATAGATGTGATAGTAACTGGTGGAATGGATCAGGAACGCTGTGCGTAGTTGGTCATCAGTTGGCGGCCTTGGGCTAATGTCATTAATGCGTCTTTGGATCTCATCCCAGAAATGCTCCAATGTGTTGAGGTCTGGACTCAGGGCTGGCTAAGGCATGGTTTCCACATTATGCTGCCTCAGAAATGAGTGAGTCTGGCGGTATGTGCACGCGCATTGTCCTGCTGGAAAACGTGACGCCGGTGACGTGCGAAAAACGTCACAACATGGGGTCGCAGGACTTGGTCGATGTATTAGTAATAATAGTAATAGTCCGCTTATATGGCGCTCATATCCAGGCACATTGCCTGCTCACGGCGCTACGTACATTACTATCCCCGGTCAGAGGACACTATCGTACTTTCCGATACTTTTTTAACTCCCTGGGGAGCATACAGGCAAGCTGCCTGTTAGGCGCAATGAACTTAACACAATCACATTGCCAGCTGTACCGGGCAGCTGTCACACCATTCCCTCTTCCTGGACCGAGATTCTGGAAGATTACAGGTCCGATTTTCTGGTTAAGTCCGATTCCACCCCATACCATAATGCTCTGACCACCCCAAGCGTTTCTCTCCATCACACACTCATCGTTGTAGCGTTCTCCTCTGCGACGCCAGACCCTAGTCCTCCCATCACCCACAGATACGCAATAGTGACTTTCATCGGAGAAGATAACAGTTCTCAACTGTCTCTGATGCCAGCGTTGTCGCTGTAGTGACCAGTGTAGACGTTCGCGGCGGTGACGTTGCCTTAGCACTGGACCCAGGGCAGGACGTCTACAGCACAGGTTGCTGGCTTGGAGGTGCCGGCGAACGGTGCGGTCACTGATTGCTCTTTGGCGGGTGCCAATGGTGTTTGGAGCTGTCTCTGTTGCCCTGTTGAACCGGTCTTGCAGGTGGTGACGGACGATCTGACGGTCCTGGCTACGGCATGGTTACCAGGGGAAGACCACTACGTGGACGGTCATCTGTGCTGTTGGTGGTATTGAACCGCTGTCGGAGACGTTCAATTGTTCTTACAGAACAATTGAATTCACTGGCGATGACAGTAGCACGTTGATCTGCGTGTAGACGTCCGATGGCCTGTTGACGTTGATCCCTCGTTAACGTCGGCATAGCTGCTGTAGTCAGGAGACGACTGAAGGACCGGTAGTCAAGCTGGGAATTTATACCCTGTATGCACACGAGATGCACGTGCAGTTTGCTTTCAATGTTGCGTTTGGTTGAGCTGTACCTTGTCCGAAAACAGTGAAACTTTTGAACCATGGTGTGTTGTACAAACTTATAATTTAGTCTTGGAATCATGTTTTTTAAATGTTGTTTTCAGTCATCAAGTGACAAATAGTTAATCAAAATACATCATTGGTACCAAATCCATAATCTAAAAAATACGACTTTTCTTTTGCACTTCAGTATATAACTCAGGAAAGATAGTCTCTCATTCCCCGTTCCTCGTTAGTTATTGTCCGAATCTGCTCAAGGGTGAGATATACAGACAGTCTGTCCTAGGGTGAAATCTACTGACAGTTTGTCCTAATGTGGGGCATTCAGACAGTGTGCCCTGAGTAGAGGTATACAGACAGTCTGTCCTTGGGTGAGGTATACAGACAGTCTGTCCTTGGGTGAGGTATACAGACAGTCTGTCCTAGGGTGAGGTATACAGACAGTCTGTCCTAGAGTGAGGTATACAGACAGTCTCTCCTAGGGTGAGATATTCAGACAGTCTGCCCTTGGGTGAGGTACAGAGACAGTCTGCCCTAGGGTGAGATATACAGTTTGCCCATGGATGAGATAGACAGACAGTCTGTCCTAATGTTGGACATTAAGCTAGTGGACCTTAAGGTAAGGTATACAGACAGTCTGTCCTTAGGTGAGGTATACAGACAGTCTGTCCTAGGGTGAGGTATACAGACAGTCTGTCCTTAGATGAGGTATACAGACAGTCCGCCGAAGACTGAGATATACAGACAGTCTGTCCTTAGGTGAGATATTCAGACAGTCTGCCCTTGGGTGTGGTACAGAGACAGCCTCTCCTAGTTTGAGGTATACAGACAATCTGTCCTAGGATGAGATATACAGACAGTCTGTCTTTAGGTGACATATTCAGACAATCTGCCCTTGGGTGAGGTACAGAGACAGTCTGTCCTAGGGTGAGATATACAGACAGTCTGTCCTAGGGTGAGATATTCAGACAGTCTGCCCTTGGGTGAGGTACAGAGACAGACTGCCCTAGGGTGAGATATACAGTTTGCCCAAGGGTGAAGTATACAGACAGTCTGCTCTATGGTAACGTACAGAGACAGCCTTCCCTTGGGTGAGGCATGCAGACCGTCCTTCTACACGGCTCTCGTCCTGTGTACACAGTGAGGGGGAAGTCTCAGTCAAGCCAACTACAAACAAGGACGTCCCCCTGAATACTCGTCATTCATGCAAACATCAGGCCAGCTTTTCACATTTAACGATGGATTTCATCAGTAAGCCTTCAATATTTGAGGAGGATTTTAGATGGATCGCGGAACGAAGAAATGATATATATCTGAAGCTGGAATTATAGTTGAAAAAAACATATAATACATAAGTTTGCAAGTAAATGAGTAAAGCAATTCTCAACGTGTATACAGTCCCATCTCATACTAGTGGTGTTCCGATTAACTGAAATAATCGAAGATTGGTCGCAGTGACCAAACGACCAAGCAATCGATCACAATTTCTCATAATCGAACACAAACGATTTTGGAACTACTGTTTTAGTCTTTGAAAAACTTGACAATTTTACATATCTTAGAAGTTGTCAGGGCCTGAAAACGTGTTTAATTCTAAGAAAACTCACTTCACTAACTGAAAAGCCATGACTGAAGGTTTCTCTAAGACTCAAGGAAGTTTATGTTCATGATATATCAGTCATCACTTTAAAGTAGCAAGTTGCAATCATGTTATAAATATCTGCAATAACAACCTGGATAGGAAAATCTGAAAAATGACGCTAACAAAGTTTTTCGATGATTGTTCGTTGGTAATGAAGCAATCATCAATTGTGAGATTTCAACTAATGCCCAACACTATCTCATACTCTCTCAGAGAATACATTTAGGTTGGTACCCAGTTAGAACGTTTTGTGCTCTACCCACACATACAGTTGGACAGATTTGCTTAGTCAGCATACAGTTAGACAGTCATACAGTTCGACCTCTCTATTCCGGACGCTGTCGGTCAAGGGCAGATGTCCACATTTGTACACGGGTGTTCGAGTACTTGCCTATTCACGTTTTGATGCCTGCAGCGGAAACAGTACTACCCAGAGCAGAGCGCTTGCCTAGATGTGCCTCATATTAAGCAATTTCTGTTTTTAATCCCGAAGGTTATTTTTATACCTATTACAAAGCATGCAATGTTTTGTTCTGACAGATTTGCTGTTTAACCCCGAGAAGAACAACTGTGACTGGCCGTGGCTGGTGAAAGCCCCGTGTGGGACGGCCCAAGGGAACGTGTGGCCAGATGGGAGGCCCCAGCCCTACCGAAGATAGGGGTCCCGTCTTCACCCCATGTCACGTCCACCCCATGGGATGGTTGATGTGACACATTAACGCTACTGTGTTGATTTTTATGTTCACAGTTGTATCCACTTCATCTTTATATGATACAACTGTATCCCCTTATAGGTAAATGATACAACTGTATCCTCCTTCTACGTAACTGATACAACTGTATCCTAATTATACGTAACTGATACAACTGTATCCCCCTTATAGGTAAATAATACAACTGTATCCCCCTTATAGGTAAATGATACAACTGTATCCCCCTTATAGGTAAATGATACAACTGTATCCCCCTTATAGGTAAATGATACAACTGTATCCCCCTTCTACGTAATTGATACAACTGTATCCCCCTTGTAGGTAAATGATACAACTGCATCCCCCTTCTACGTAACTGATACAACTGTATCCCCCTTGTAGGTAAATGATACAACTGTATCCCCCTTATAGGTAAATGATACAACTGTATCCCCCTTATAGGTAAATGATACAACTAGTTTATTGAGGTTGTCAATGTTAGTTTAACAAAACGCGATCTATGATAAAATGCTGATGCCTAGAGTTAACTATGAATGCCTTGGAATAATTGTAGACCCCCAGGGTTAACTGTGGACGTCCAGGATTAACTGTGGATATCCAGAGCGTCTAGGTTAGGAAATCCTGTTGGAATGTGCAACAGAAGCAAGAAGCACCACTGTACAGTACAGAATATCCACAACAAAGGTTCATCTTCTGTAACATTGTCACCAGCATGTACGTACCCCATCAAATAAATCTGATTCATATGGTAGTTGTTTTTGTTCTTCCCTGTAGGAAGATCGACAAGGACGGAGGGGTCATCAAGTGGCAGGTATTGCACTGGATGTAACACGCTTGCTCCCCTTGTGAGTCCCGTGGAGTCAAAACACAACTGAGTGATGTTTTCGCGAGATACCACGAACAAATCGTCGTTAAAATGTATTGCCGGCGTTTGCAATGTTGACAACTGTAGTGATTGAAGTCCAATGTCGTGTTACATTTTAGCGTTAGTTCTTCCCCAAATGAAACGTTTTTTCATAGTTACAGCGAGTAAGAGGTTGTCATAGACCCACTCTGGAAGTAAGTGAGGTTGTGATAGACCCACTCTGGAAGTAAGTGAGGTTGTGATAGACCCACTCTGGAAGTAAATGAGGTTGTGATAGCGCCGCTCTGAAAGTAAGTGAGGTTGTGATAGACCCACTCTGGAAGTAAGTGAGGTTGTGATAGACCCACTCTGGAAGTAAGTGAGGTTGTGATAGACCCACTCTGGAAGTAAATGAGGTTGTGATAGCGCCGCTCTGAAAGTAAGTGAGGTTGTGATAGACCCACTCTGGAAGTAAGTGAGGTTGTGATAGACCCACTCTGGAAGTAAGTGAGGTTGTGATAGACCCACTCTGGAAGTAAATGAGGTTGTGATAGCGCCGCTCTGAAAGTAAGTGAGGTTGTGATAGACCCACTCTGGAAGTAAGTGAGGTTGTGATAGACCCACTCTGGAAGTAAGTGAGGTTGTGATAGCGCCGCTCTGAAAGTAAGTGAGGTTGTGATAGACCCACTCTGGAAGTTAGTGAGGTTGGGATAGACCAACTCTGGAAGTAGGTGAGGTTGTGATAGACCCACTCTGGAAGTAAGTGAGGTTGTGATAGACCCACTCTGGAAGTAAGTGAGGTTGTGATAGACCCACACTGGAAGTAAGTGAGGTTGTGATAGACCCACTCTGGAAGTAAGTGAGGTTGTGATAGACCCGCTCTGGAAGTAAGTGAGGTTGTGATAGACCCACTCTGGAAGTAAGTGAGGTTGGGACAGCGCCGCTCTGGAAGTAAGTGAGGTTGTGATAGACCCACTCTGGAAGTATGTGAGGTTGGCAAAGCGCCGCTCTGAAAGTTAGTGAGGTTGTGATAGACCCACTCTGGAAGTAAGTGAGGTTGTGATAGACCCACTCTGGAAGTAAGTGAGGTTGTGACAGACCCACTCTGGAAGTAAGTGAGGTTGTGATAGACCCACACTGGAAGTATGTGAGGTTGGGAGAGCGCCGCTCTGGAAGTAAGTGAGGTTGTGATAGCGCCGCTCTGGAAGTAAGTGAGGTTGTGATAGCGCCATTCTGGAAGTAAGTGAGGCTGTGATAGCGCCATTCTGGAAGTAAGTGAGGCTGTGATAGCGCCACTCTGGAAGTAAGTGAGGTTGTGATAGCCTCGCTCTGGAAGTAAGTGAGGTTGTGATACCGCTGCTCTGGAAGTAAGTGAGGCTGTGATAGCGCCACTCTGGAAGTAAGTGAGGTTGGGATAGCCTCGCTCTGGAAGTAAGTGAGGTTATGATACCGCTGCTCTGGAAGTAAGTGAGGCTGTGATAGACCCACTCTGGAAGTAAGTGAGGTTGGGATAGCCTCGCTCTGGAAGTAAGTGAGGCTGTGATACCGCTGCTCTGGAAGTAAGTGAGGCTGTGATAGCGCCACTCTGGAAAGAAGTGAAGTTGTGATAGCGATGATCTGGAAGTAAGTGAGGTTGTGATACCGCCACTCTGGAAGTCAGTGAGTTTGTGATACCACTGCTCTGGAAATAAGTGAGGCTGTGATAGCGATGATCTGGAAGTAAGTGAGGTTGGCATAGCGCCTCTCTGGAAGTTAGTGAGGTTGTGATAGGCCCACTGTGGAGGTGAGTGAGGTTGTGATAGCGCCATTCTGGAAGTAAATGAGGTTGTGATACAGCCCCTTTGGAAGTTAGTGAGGTTGTGATAGCGCCATTCTGGAAGTAAGTGTGGTTGTGATAGCGCCGTTCTGGAAGTAAGTGAGGTTGTGATAGCGCCACTCTGGAAGTAAGTGAGGTTGTGATAGCCTCGCTCTGGAAGTAAGTGAGGTTGTGATACCGCTGCTCTGGAAGTAAGTGAGGCTGTGATAGCGCGCTGTGGAAGTAAGTGAGGTTGTGATAGCGCCACTCTGGAAGTAAGTGAGGCTGTGATACCACTGCTCTGGAAGTAAGTGAGGCTGTGATAGCGCCACTCTGGAAAGAAGTGAGGTTGTGATAGCGCTGCTCTGGAAGTAAGTGAGTTTATGATAGCCTCGCTCTGGAAGTAAGTGAGGTTGTGATACCGCCGCTCTGGAAGTAAGTGAGGTTGTGATAGCCGCTGCTCTGGAAGCAAGTGAGGTTGTGATAGCGCCACTCTGGAAGCAAGTGAGGGATAGTGGAAGTAAGTGAGGTTGTGATAGCCCCGCTCTGGAAGCAAGTGAGTTTGTGATAGCGCCACTCTGGAAGTAAGTGAGGCTGTGATACCGCTGCTGTGGAAGTAAGTGAGGTTGTGATAGCGCCACTCTGCAAGTAAGTGAGGCTGTGATACCACTGCTCTGGATGTAAGTGAGGTTGTGATAGCCTCGCTCTGGAAGTAAGTGAGGTTGTGATACCGCTGCTCTGGAAGTAAGTGAGTTTATGATAGCCTCGCTCTGGAAGTAAGTGAGGTTGTGATACCGCCGCTCTGGAAATAAATGAGGCTGTGATAGCGCCACTCTGGAAAGAAGTGAGGTTGTGATACCACTGCTCTGGAAGTAAGTGAGGTTGTGATACCGCTGCTCTGGAAGTAAGTGAGGTTGTGATACCGCTGCTCTGGAAGTAAGTGAGGTTGTGATAGCGCCAATCTGGAAGTAAGTGAGGTTGTGATAGCGCCGTTCTGGAAGTAAGTGAGGTTGTGATATCCTAGCTCTGGAAGTAAGTGAGTTTGTGATAGCGCCACTCTGGAAGTAAGTGAGGCTGTGATACCGCTGCTGTGGAAGTAAGTGAGGTTGTGATACCGCTGCTCTGGAAGTAAGTGAGGTTGTGATACCGCTGCTCTGGAAGTAAGTGAGGTTGTGATAGCCGCTGCTCTGGAAGTAAGTGAGGTTGTGATACCGCTGCTCTGGAAGTAAGTGAGGTTGTGATACCGCTGCTCTGGAAGTAAGTGAGGTTGTGATAGCGCCAATCTGGAAGTAAGTGAGGTTGTGATAGCGCCGTTCTGGAAGTAAGTGAGGTTGTGATATCCTAGCTCTGGAAGTAAGTGAGTTTGTGATAGCGCCACTCTGGAAGTAAGTGAGGCTGTGATACCGCTGCTGTGGAAGTAAGTGAGGTTGGCATAGCGCCACTCTGCAAGTAAGTGAGGTTGTGATAGCGCCGCTCTGGAAGTAAGTGAGGTTGTGATACCGCTGCTCTGGAAGTAAGTGAGGTTGTGATAGCGCCACTCTGCAAGTAAGTGAGGTTGTGATAGCGCTGCTCTGGAAGTAAGTGAGGTTGTGATAGCGCTCTGGAAGTAAGTGAGGGGCTGGATAGCACCCACCTGCAAGTAAGTGAGGTTGTGATAGCGCCGCTCTGGAAGTAAGTGAGGTTGTGATACCGGCTGTGGAAGTAAGTGAGGTTGTGATAAGCCCACTCTGGAAGTAGCAAGTGAGGTTGTGATAGCGCCGCTCTGGAAGTAAGTGAGGTTGTGATAGCGCCACTCTGGAAGTAAGTGAGGCTGTGATACCTGCTGTGGAAGTAAGTGAGGTTGTACGTGATAGCCCACTCTGGAAGCAAGTGAGGTTGTGATAGCGCCCACTCTGGAAGCAAGTAAGGTTGTGATAGCCCGCCTGGAAGTAAGTGAGTTTGTGATAGCGCCACTCTGGAAGTAAGTGAGGTTGTGATAGCGCTGCTCTGGAAGTAAGTGAGGTTGTGATACCGCTGCTCTGGAAGTAAGTGAGGTTGTGATAGCGCCACTCTGGAAGTAAGTGAGGTTGATAGCGCCACCTGCAAGTAAAGTGAGGTTGTGATAGCCACTCTGGAAGTAAGTGAGGCTGTGATAGCCTGCTCTGGAAGTAAGTGAGGTTGTGATACCGCTGCTCTGGAAGTAAGTGAGGTTGTGATACCGCCGCTCTGGAAGTAAGTGAGGTTGGCATAGCGCCACTCTGCAAGTAAGTGAGGTTGTGATAGCGCCGCTCTGGAAGTAAGTGAGGTTGTGATACCGCCACTCTGGAAGTAAGTGAGGTTGTGATAGCGCCACTCTGGAAGTAAGTGAGGTTGTGATAGCG